GTTTTAAGTAATCTCTCATCCGTGCCATGTAAAACTACCTTCTTTCTGATTCTCACATCCTCATCACCACTATTTTCCTAGATTTCGGGATAATGTCTTCCCCACTCTCTGGTCCCACCATCAACAAACTCAAGACTAGCCTCCTGGTCAGCATCCCCTTGGACTCTGTTGCTTTTAGCTTCAGCTCTGCCTCAAACTACCCTAGATGTGGTGGCAGAAGTTTCTTCACCCAGGGTCACCTATTTTATTTCTCAGACTCCTGCATTGGCTTCTGATTGCCTTTCTCCCTACGTGAAACTCTATCAGGCACTTTAAATGTCTTTGTCCTAATCTCATTCAGTTTCCAAAGACATTTCCAATTCAATTAAATAAAGGGGCACGGCATCTAATTGTGGACTTTCTTTCTCCACACTCTGAATTTTCTCCATTTTTCCAAAAAGTATCGCCTCCTGCCTCTGGGAAATCACGAGTCGTGATTCCTTTAAAGTTCTGCTTGAACTTCACTTCTCTCTTACCTGCCTTCTCTGACTAGCCCCACTGGGGCTCCAGGGTGCGTATAAATCATCCCACCCCCACCACTCTTCAGCTTTCTACAAACTTGGATAACCAGGAATCGTGTTGGTTGAGTCGGTCATGATGATGGTTACAGATTGTGTCATTTGTGTTCTAGGTCTATATGTCTATCTGCCTGGTTCTCTCCATTATATGACAAATTCCTTGAGGGAAGCTGCCTCCTCTGGTGTTGCTTTTGGGAGTGCCCAGAGTTGAATCATTATTAATGACAATGAAAACAAAAGAGAAAATGTTTGATATGTGCAAAGGAGAAGGTACAGAGGAGATAAGAGGTGGTAGTGAAAAAGGAACTGGACTAGCAGTCCGGAGACAAGTTTCTGCCACCAGCCAGCTAGGTGACCTTGACTTACATTATAAAGGGAACACTGTGGGGGCGGGGGGCATCTATTTGTAGAGAGCAGAGTGACAACTAACACCTGTGGAGAGGGTGACTACCAAACCATGGGACTAGAGGGAAGCTTCTTAAAATACAGCAAAGATACTAATAGGAGGACCTGGCTTTATTTTTCTCTGTAGCACTAAATGCTACATAATGCCCTATATATTTAGTTGTATGTTTGCTTAATGTCTCCCTCCATCCACTCACAAGGTCAGTGACTTTGCTCTGTTCACTGCATTATCTCCATTGGTGTCTAATGGATGCTTAGAAAACATCTGTTAATGAAGAATTGGCATAAGCAATTGTCACTAACAGGAATCCTATGTTTGTATCTGAATGAAGACAGAAGGAAACATGTGACCATAGAAAGATCCTTTTATTATGTGCAACCTTCTTCTGAGACAAATAAATGTAAACTCAGAGCATGGTTATTTAGACAAGACAGAAAAAAATACAAAATAAGCTACCACTATTACGCTTGTCCTATTAGTCTGGAGGTCCCTGAGTTAGCAGCAGCACATAAAGCTGTCAAGCACCCTGCAATAGATATTGCTGTTGAGTTAATGTTAGCAGTCACAGACATAAATCTGACTCTGAACACAATTATTTCAACTCAGATACATTGTTGTCAGCTCCCTCATTCATGATTCAAGCAACTGCACTTTATTATCCTCCCAATTCTCTTTTCTACCCAGGCCTACAAATTGTGTCCTTCAGAGTATAACGAAACTTTATTGACTAAAGACAGGAGAGTCTTTTAATTCCCACAACTTGGGCAACTAGTCTACAGTCTTAAAAGCAGAACGGGTAGTCCACGCCACTCATTAAATACTAAGGAGAAATACCAGTAGGAGGACAGAGTTGGGAAGGAAACCGAAGTTATCCAGGATCAGAAAGTCTATTGTTGTTATTAACATATTTTATTCAGAAGTTGCAATTATTTTAAAGCATCCTGCTTTTTCCTCACAAGGCTTCACCTATTCAATGAAAAATTGCACACTGATAGATATGCAGAACACGTAGTATTTATTAAATATTTCTGAAAATGTTATTAATCGCAACTACCACGGTGAAAATCATAGAGCAGATAGATGTTGACTGATAATTTCTATTTGTCCCACTACTGCTCTATACTTGTCAGCTCTGACTCATGGCAGCCTTGTGTACAACAGAACAAAATTCTGCCCGTCCTGCACCATCTTCATGATTGTTGGGATGTGAGTCCACTGTTGCAGCTGTTGTGTCAATCCACCTCAGAAGGGTTTCCCTCATTTTCACTGATTCTCTACTTTACCAAACATGATGTCCTTTTCTAGAGACTGGTTTTTCCTGATGATGTGTTCAAAGTAAACAGTACACTTACTACAGCAAGAAAAATGGCAGATTTTGAAACACATTAATTTGGTCATTTAAGGACACTCATTCCATCCACTGACTCACAGCCTCTCTGTCAGGTGTGTAGATACAGCAGAGAGTGACATGAACACAGTCATTCCTCATGAAGCCCTGACGGGCGCATCCTTTCTGAAAATGATTCTAAGGTAAGCACCGTGAGAGTAGAGGGTTTTGACTGTTTTGCTCTCTGAGGTATCCCAAGCTCCTTGAACAGTGCCTGGCACATAGGTCCTCAGTAAATATTATTTGAATGAATAAATAAAGCATTTACCCAGCACCTGGTACATAGTGAGTACTCACTGTTAGTTGCTATAGTGACGAATTTCTCGGTTTGTAATGTCCCTAGGCCCTGCTGGGTCTGATTTCCAGTTCCATTTAAAGAAAAAGGCAGTATTGCGACAATTCCTTTAGATGTAATCCTGAATGCACAGTACATTTGCTGTATACATAATAAAATGGAGTCCCTGGGTGGTGCAAGTGGTTAATGTACTCAACTGCTAACTTAAAGGTTGGAGGTTCGAATCCACCCAGAGGTGCCTCAGAAGAAAAGCCTGGTGATCTATTTCTGAAACATCAGCCATTGAAAACTTGATGGAGCACGGTTCTACTCCAACACTCATGGGGCTGCCATGTGTCAGAGTCAACTTGACTACAACTAGTATGGTATAGTAAGAGCAACTGTATCTGACAGAGGCATAAGAGTCTGTCAGATACCTGCAGGGCTTCTATGTGAGACAGGTGACTTCTGTGGGTGTATTTCCTCATCTCCCGAAATGGGAGGTTTGCACGTAAGCTCTTAGGTCCTTCACAGCTCTAATAGTCTTTGATAAAAACCTGTGTAGATCTAGAAGGTTGAGAGGAGCATTAACTGGTTCATTTTAGGTGATCACCACATATGATTGGTCATGCAGTAACATAAAAAAGATGGTAATTATAACATTAAGAGAAGACTACAGGAAATAGTAGACAAGTTCTTTATGTATGGAAAAATAGAAAAAGATGTTAACTAAAGTTGGTTGTTAGAACAATTTTATGGACCTGATTAGGTAAAAATACATTTGGAAAGGATCTGAAAGTTAATTAGAAACAAATTGGGGACACACCCAATATAAGATTCTGTTGTATTTGTCTACGGAAGACAGGAATAATATAGATCTGTTGACCATATTTTCTAAATCAGAAATCAGTCAACATGATCTGAAACCTGGAAAAGATATTTGGAATATGGATTTTATTTTTGAAAATCTTGGCTACATGGCTGGCATACACATAAGTAAGTTCCTCTGTATATAGAAAGAAGTAAATAATTTCAAAGGCTACAGAGAAGTGAAGACATAAGGATATGCTTTCTATTTGGTGCGCTGTGCTTTTATGTAAGTCGAGTGTAAGAGTAGCTGGGTGTCCAGCCTGTGGCCTCCTCAGTGTCCACCCAGCCAGAGCTGGCAGGGCAGGCCTTTCAGGAACCTCTCTACCTAAAGGAGGTCCAGAAACTTTTGGGAAATGAACTATAATGCACCCTTTCACATGAGGATGCTGAAGTACACATACACTCACACTTGCACACACTCACACCCACACATTCACACTTACACCCCCCACACACACGCTTTTCTGACTTGTTTCCTACTTCTTTTCCCCTTGCGCAGCCTTCTCCACCACACTGGCCTCTGTGGCATTCCTCAAACACATCAGGCCTGCTCTGGCCTCAGGGCTTCTGCTCTTCTGTTCCCACTGCCTGGAATGCTCTTCCCCAGATAGCAGCATAGCGGTATCCTCCACCTCCTTCATGGCTCTTTTGAAATGCCTCCTTAGCGATGCCTTTGTGACCATGCTATTAAGGGAACTTTACTCCCCTTCCCTGCTTTACTTTTCTGCACAGCCCATATGGTCATCTGACATGAATTATCTTATTTAGTAGTTTATTGTCTGTCCCTCCCACTAAACTATAACCTCCTTGGGGGCATGCATTTTTGTCTATTTTTTTCACTGCTGCATCTCCAGTTTCTAGATTAGTGGCTAACATGTAGGTGTAGGTGAAACTCCGGCACATTTGTTGAGTGAATGAATGAATGTATATAGATCATCTGGCCTTGTCTTTTTTTAATTGTCAAAAATGGAATATCTAATATTTGCTATCATAGATATAATCAATTTGGATCATGCCAGAAATAAGTTTACTTTAAAAATCATAGTATGTTTAATTAATATTAATTATGATTCCAGGAAAGTGCCCTAGACTTATGCAGTGATATTCATTAGTGGAGCCCTAATCCCTTCTTGTTGATGAGCAAAAAGACAGGCAGCTCCATCAGCTCAAGGCTATGTGGTAAGAATTTTCTAGTCCTGAGGCCTGGGCTGAAAGCATGATCCAACATAGGAGGGAAAGAGGAATAGAATAAAAGAAGTAAGGTGTTAGAGGTCTGGAGAGGTTCTAGGAGATCATTCTTCAAGCCTAATCCCTCCTAGGTTCCAATAGGTTCTATAACTTGGTCAAGAAAGTGTTGGGTGGGGCTGGGGTGGTGTGGGGCAATAGGCTACATTTGTGTGATCCTGAGCCAAAAGTTTACTCTGGATTCTGATATTTAACTCCAGTCTTGGAAAGACTGGGAGTTGTTCATATAGTGACAGACCTCTACTCTCCAGCAGGGGAGGGGCATTGATGGTTCAGTGGTAGAATTCTCGCCTTCCATGCGGGAGACCTTGGTTCTATTCCCAGTCAATGCACCTCTGTGAAGTCACCACCCATCTGTCAGTGGATGCCTGCGTATTGCTATGATGTTGAACAGGTTTCGGTGGTGCTTCTAGACTAAGACAGACTAAGAAGAAAGGCATGGAAATCTACTTCTGAAAATCAGCCAGTGAAAACCCTATGGATCACAACTCAATGGATCATGGACATGGCACAGAACAGGCCAACGTTTTGTTCCTGTGCACGAGGTCATCAGTTTCGTTCCACTGTACATGTATTGGGGGCCAACTCCACAGCAGCTAACAACAGTACTCTCCAGCAGGTGTTTCTCTACAAAAAACTTGAAGCAAACTTTGTTTTCATTCTAGGCGATCACATTGCCCCCTAGGCAATTAAATATACCCTTTGCTTGAGCTAAGCTGTGAAACCACAAACAAGCCATTTCAGTCTGGGAGTCTCTACAATCAGTGGTTTTAAGTGTGGCAGTGCAGACTGGGCCTGGGTAGTTGATGTTCCTCTCTGCAGGAGCCTGTTGACCCTTTGAGTCTTGAGTGCCAAGGCTCCATCCTGAATATCTGCTGGACTGTGAGAAAGTCTTATTAATTGAGCAAGTGAGAAGGGCTGTGGGGTGGGAGCATGCAGAGGAGGGAAGCAGGAGAAGACTGAGGAGATGGAATCCTTCACTGACCTCCCCTGCGGAAATTGACTACTGTACTGGGTCTTCTATGTGTCTAACGCACTTTGTTCCTACTTCTATCATTGCCGCTACTGGGCCTACTTCTATTACACGGAGAGCTAGCATGGCTTCTACTACAGCTCAGGACAGCTTTGGTTGTTAACATGTTAGACTCCCATGAGGCAAGGCGAAGGGCTAATTACCCATTTTTTGCATCCTTCTCAGCTTCTCTGACTGTGTCTGGTCCATAGTACTTTGCTGAACTTTCCTTAATAAGCAAGTTTCAAGAGGGAGCCAAAGACCAGAAGTCAAGGACATGAGGATATTCACTATCTCTCAAAGTTTGGTGCACGCAGAAATTTTCAGATTGAATCCCATGTTCACTAATGGCTTACCTTACATATTTAGAGATGTTTCCTTTTCATTTCTGATTGAACTTCAGTTGGCAGAGGCTCCTGGCACTATTACGTTTTTATGTCTCCCTTCCAATTTCACAATCAAATACTTACTTATAAAATGCTTAAGCATTCCTAAGAGAGGCTTGGTTTTTGTAACGTGAGTAAATATTACTTAGTTTATCTCTCAGTTACCTGAAGCCAAGCCAAGAATTTGGGAATATGCAAAGCCCACCTCTGGCAGCCAAACAGGTATTTCCAAGACCTTGCACTAAAACCCATGTACTTTGTTTGCAGGTAAATGGCAGAGGCCACCCCAAAATGGCTGGCCACTATGTGGCTTAAAACAACAATAATTGTGTTTCCTCATGATTCTGTGGATTAACAATTGGGGCTAATCCTTCTGGGCAGTCCTTCTGTTGGTTTGGCCTTGGGTCATGCCTGTGGCTATAGTCATCTGGCCGTTCAGCCAGGGCTGGATGGTCTAAGATATCCACACTCACTTGTCTGGTAGTTGATACTGCCTATTGGCTGGGCCTCTCTGTCCACATGATTTCTCATCTTCCAGGAGGATAACTCATGCCTCTTCACATGGTGGTCTCAAGGGTCTGAAAGAGCGAGGGTGGAAGCTCTACAGCCCCAAGACCTAGCCTCAAAAGATGCACAAAGTCATTTTTGCCCTTCTGTCATATTAGTCCAAGTGAGTCATCTGATCAAGCCCAGAGACAGTGTGGAGAAAGACTAGTCATGAGTGTTTACTACAGGGAGTAGACATGTTGTGCCCATATTACAACAACATACCACAACTTCATTCAGAGACTATTTACCAGTGTTGTAGACAAAATTCTAATAAGATTTTTGTTTGACTTCAACACATAATATATTATTCTAACATAGCAAATCAGAATTATCAATAAGCATTGGTTCCTAGAAGTAGGTATGCTGAAGGTAGCAACAGTAGACAGTTGAAAGCTTCAGAACAAGGAAAAAAAAAAAAAGTAAGGCAACTATAAAAACCTAAACTGAGATCTCATGAAGCCTAATGATCAGTTGTCATTTGTAGTATGTAGGTAAAGAAATCACAATTGCCCTGCAATATTCTTATAAAAACAGGATATAAAAAATGATGATCATCATGATGAGCTTTGACAATCAAAACTCATAAGAAAGCAGAGTAAAACAGCACACGTTGTAGAAAGATTTTCATTATGAGTTATTTATAAAAATGTCTGGTGCTTTAAGCGGCCAGCTTTATACAAAAATTAACTCATATATGGACTTGTGTGTTCCCTAATTATCTGCATAAATGGGGCACAATAAAACCCTGTGATAACACAAATTCCAAGATAAGAATTTTTTTTTTTTTTTTGGTGGTTGGCTTCCATTCTTTGCCTCCATCAGCTCCTATTTGAGAAATAGGGCAGGGACTAAAGTTTTTATCTTGAGGGGGTGGGTGTTGGATGGAGAGAAAGGGTGAGACCAGGGAGAATAATACATGGCAACCCTATTGCCCTAAGTGGGGAGGTGGAGGAAGGTGGACCCCCACATCCCCAGTCTCCTCCCAGCCCTACATCCCGGATCTCTGAAAAACCAGGCACCATCAGACATGGCGATCCCCTGATTTGCTGCTGTTGTCTGAAGCCCCAGCCAGTGAGCCCGATGGGAGGGAGGAATAGCAAGGAGGTCAGTGTGGCTGGGGCAATGGAGAGAGTGGTACCAGGAAGGGCCAAGGAGGTAGGGATGGGGACAGGAGAACAAGTCTGAGGACCTTGGAGACTATTCCTTGGAGTGAGAAGGCAAGCACTGCAGCAGAGGGCTGATCTCCCCCGACTTTGACTGTAAAAGAATCACTCAAGCTGCTGTGCTGAGAAAAGACTTGGGTAGCAGGCAGCTAGATAGAAAACCCTGGTACCAGTAGCTCACAGGGGTTCTATCTGTCCTTAAAAAAAGAACTGTAGAAGCACCAACTCCTTGGGATTACTAACGAATTTTTTTTCAGGCAGCCACAGGAATAGTGCGCAGAGCAGAATAGTGCCACCAGGTGGCGCGACAATGCAATCAGGATGGGATGGATTTGGCTTTTGTCCCCTGACCCCTGTCCTCCCACCGTTTCACTGGTGCCTTTCTTTGGTCATTTAACGACCTCATAACAACATGACCCCACGTTTTGCACAACTGAAATGTCTGGACCCCTTGTACGGCGAGTTTCTATTAATTTATTGTTTTAATATTAATTCTTATTTATTGAATTTTCTTAACTGAAGCAAACATATCTAAACTCTCATTTTTCTAGAGAAATGGTCAATTTTATAAATAAAAGGTACGTTCACGTGAGCTTCAAGAAATGACTGTTGTTAAGGTGTGATCAAGCCAGAAACCAGAATGCTTTACTTTGAAAATGTCATACGTACAGTTCTTAAACCTTGATGTTAATATTCACATGCTCACCAAAGGGGAGCATTATCTTTTTTCTCATAGACATATAACAAACTCATATACTATGATGTATTAAACTTAGTCTACAAACAACAACAATGAACGGATAATGTATAAATGACAAATTTCTATTCTTAAGTCCTAAATCTTTCTAAATACAGACCCGAAAAAGTAAGTGTGAAAAGAGAAGCCAATTTCTTTTAAAAAACAAACAACTTCTATCAGCAGATCTCACATCCCTTCCTGCATCCTCCCTTTCCACTCCACAACTGTAAGCATTTTAATTGTGTAATAAACCCTTTCAAAAACCCAGACCAACCATGCCAATATTCTTTCTCTTATCACAGGCCCTCTCCATGTTTTGTTATTTCAGGTTACTTGAGGCAACTGTCTTCTTGTTAAGCTATCCTAAAAAAAATAAAACAAAGGCTTTGGTACTTTAATACTGAATCTTCTAAAGTCCTACCTGGTCAGCTTTGAGTGTCTCCTTCCTAAATTGACAGGGGACAAATGCACCATAATCCTTTACTGTCATAGGTTGCTCGTAGAGGACAAGAAACCTTAGTAACAAGAAGTAATCTATGTTCCCAGATGTTACCATGCCTAAACCATACGTGATTTACCCTGGAATCTGCTTGAACATGTTTTTTTAGGGCAGTTAAATCAAATTACCATGTTATAACTTGATTTAGTAGCATACACTAAAATCCTATGGATTACATAAAATGAGCAGAATTAACTAGAACACAGATATTATACATAGAGACATTACATGGGATTAAGTGTATTAAGTGTGCACTGCAGGCCCTTGTGGCCAAAACCCGGAAGGGGAAAACATGTAGGACTTGCTTCTATTTTTGGAGCAGAACTGTGGCGACTTCACTGAACTGTAAAATTTAAAAGCTGTAAGAGACCTTAGAAGAATCTTCTACAACCTTGCTAAAGAAATGAAAATTAAAACAAGAAACCATTGCCTATTAAATATCAAATTAACCCCTAAATGAGTCCCTTCTTATTCTGACATTTGGAGGTTCAAAGCCCAACAACCAGTTTCCCAGTCAAAAATCCCACTGAAGAGACACCTAGCTGGAAAACAGAAAATGAAAGCTATGGGAACTACAGTCCTTTCTCAAATATGAATGTATAACCAGTGACCATCACACAAATGAGGGGACCCAGGACCATGAAACAATAAATACAAAACAGACAAAGATAAAAAACGCCCCCTAAAAAGCAGATGTTTGGAGATCTACTTCTGGCATGACAGTGTGAGGAGATCTGCGGACTTGCTGCCTAGTGAAATGAATGAAAATTATAAAAACAAACAACAAAAGCCATTTATAGTCTCTGCAAATGTTCCTTAAGGCATACAGCAAACAAACAAACATGTGTTTAAGAAAATATACTAAAATTCGGTAAGAACAGTGAGAGTCTGTGGTATTTCAACCAAGACCAATAATATCTCCTCCTTCTTCCCTGATCGGTGAGATGGAGACCCCACTTCAGAATCGTGAGACCAGGAACACAA